GACAAGACCTCACGATGTAAGTGCAGTTTTGATTTAATATTTACTATTCTGAGCTTCTTCGCAACAAGCATTACTCATTCTCAGAATAAAAAACTAAACTTTATTGTGCGGGTAGACTCTTTCCCAGGCAAAACCCCCATTCTCACTCTTCTGGCTCTCAGAAAAAGACAGGAAGCCCGTGACCTCTTAGGCTAGTATGCAGGCGTTTTCTTTAGCGTTCTTTCAAAGCATTCTCGATAACGGACACCAGAAACTTCGACCCCATAGTTGACACTCAGGAGCCCATTACTACTAGTAATGGGCTCCTGTTGAAACTGTGATGTACCATGATGCACTTCGCCAAAACAAATATGACGTCATTAGTGAAAAAGAGCATAGGTGCAGGAAACACTAAACATATCTACGCACATTAAGACACAGGAAGCCCAATATTTAAACAGGATTTTAAAAGGACGATACTAATCCACCATTAAYCTTATTTTGTAGCTCGAACTACCGAAAGAGTACCGCTGGCCCTCCGATGGTCTTGTTATAACAGTTCTCCCAAATGACAAATAGCAAATAATCTACAGATAAGTAACAATTACCGCCACGTWCCTTCTTTGTCACGGTTTTTGGGTATTGCGTTACCTGACAATAGTTTTCAGGAAATATGTGGTACTTAGYCTATGAGTCACGCAATGTACTTTTTGCGTGACTGATCTTTTAAGACAATTTTACGAGAAGTCACGTAGTGTGCGTGATTCGCATGGATAATAAGAACAAGATYTTGAACAAAGACGTTTTGGTTTAAAGTTTATGATAGATCTTATGCTTTCTGGTACGTAACGCGAAATACAATAAATACGTTAGATACGTAAAAGTGGAAGATTTAATTTTTAAATTAGATTTAAAAAAGCGGGAAAAATACATTGAGAAATATATAAATATTGAAAAGGAGCTTTTTCATGGCTCACTCCGAGTAAATCTTGTTACGTTGGCACTTTAGCTAAATAAATATTATCTTATGTAAATGAGTATATTAAATTACCTACGATACGATAAATTATATACAACTGATTCAAGAAAGATTTCCGGAGACTGTGAAAAATGCAAGACCGAAAGTTATTGTGTGGTATTGAAAATTGCATCACTTATCATATTCTGTCCTTTTCTTAATACACGAATCCCAAAATGAACTAGCGCTTTTAAAAATTTCGCATGAAGACGGGGCATATGAAAAGAGATTTCCAAAGCTGGCTTTTAGTTTTGCGCGTTTTCGTGCCCGCCTCTTCGGTGTTTTTGAAAACACGGTCGGCCGCGCATCTCAGAAATCGTTTTGTAAAAAAAATTACCAAACGAAATTACACCTGTTTTCAAWAATGCTGGCCCAGTTTATATTTATTGAACAATTACAGCCATATATGACATTWATTTCTTCATTGAGTGTTCGTAAAGCTATTTCGGCCATTCCTTGAGTCAACGCTTTTGAAAACCGGTGTAAATAGTTTAGTGTGTATATAGCTGAAGTATTTCAGCAACTTAAATTGTGCATAAAACCTGGTTTAGTTTTTATTAAATGCCGAAATTAGTTTTTCAAAATAAAATGACTTAAGATTGAATATCTATTTCGTATTGTAATGAAACATTGTTTCAGTTTCACCACACTAAATCATTCAAAGGCGCAGTGCCAGGGGGCATGTGGATCACGTGTCTTCTCTACCCCCTCCCCCCTGAACCATATCCACTATCATCGCCAATCATCATTAGGACATTTTAAAAATAGAAATAAATAGGTTTAATCGCTGTTTAAGTTTATTTACACTTTATGTACACTCTTTTAAGTCTACGGAAACTGAGAACTCAGAAAATGTCTTTCAACTATAGTCAGAGTTGCGTGATAGAAAATGTATTTTTTTTCTCGTATGTTGTACTAAATGTCACATAATGTTGCGCCAAATCTTCAGCAATTTTACTCTAGTCTTAATTGAATAGTTCTTTTGAACGTGCTTGCTAGTTAAAAACAGTGCTCTATATATTACTTTTGATGTCACGCTTTGCAAAATCACAACAGTCTCACGCAGTCCTTAATAGTCATTCAAGGAGTCAAAGGGTCTTTATTCATATCAATTCGACCCTCCAAAGATTGCCTCTTCCATTTGGTCCGTCTGTTCTGGAACCACACTTTAACTTGAGTTTCGCTAAGCTTTAGATATGAAGCAAGCTGTTTCCTCTCTCCCCCGACCACGTAGTGGTTCTTGTCGAACGACGTTTCTAGGCAGAGAAGCTGAAATGGCGTGAATGCCGTTCGTATTCGTCTGGTTCGGTTCTGGGGCTTGTTGGCTAGTGGTTGGGTTGGTGTGGAGACTGTTGTGGTCGGTGTTCGGTTCACATGCGCTGGGGAATTAACTCGGCCTTTAAAAGAAAAGTTTTTTGCGTTAATGTTTGTCTATCACAGTAGACCCCTGTAATCCGGGCGCCAGAAGGATTAGACCAGTGCCCGTTTCAACCGAGTCTATATGATCAAAATTATAATTCCCCGCAGTCAATGCATTGACTTGAAAGATAGTGACCTCATTAATGCGGCCACAAGGCAATGACTTGTCCATGTATTTAGGGAGTTGATTTTAAATGAATTAATGGAATGGTAAATAGCTTAGTAAATAAAATATTGGATAAATGAGATATTTAAAAATGAAAGGAATTGAGAAAAAAATGACATGATTAGATATCACACCGAGAAACTATTCAATTGCATGTTTTAATAATATTTAACACTGTAACCCTCAGAGAAGCTCATAATTCTAACGTAAGATCAGCCATCAAGTTTGTGTTCTTTCACAGTAAAACTCACTTACCTAAATCTGAACTTGGTCTTTGTGTAGGCTCCGTTTTGATAGCCTGACGCTCAGGGATGCTCCCAAATGGCGGTGTCCATCGATGTGGCTGTGACATGTGCTGGTTCATTGGTTCTATCTTTGGTCTTGGGACGTAGTTGAGAAGTTTGCGTTCTTGTGGGAAGAAGGACGAGGATGGCAGGTTGAAGTTCGAAACCACTGGAGGAATCATCTCTGTTGGATATCTACATGCCGGACCGYTGCACTCGTTGGAAGGGCAAGGGCATCTGTAATAATAGTAGCTATCTGTCATGTTGGAAGCTGTTTTWTAGTTCAATCTTTCGTTGTTAGCTTGGTTTTCTGGGAAAGTTTTTGAGAAGCTGTCCACTTTGCTTGGGCAGTTCACTTGCGAGTTGGTAAGAGTTATGGAAGCTCTTATCTTACAGTTTCTAAGCGTTGGAAAGGCTTCTTAAATTGAAATATACKTTCGCTTCTTAGTTGCTTGCTCTACAGAGACTCTAAGTTTGCTTTCTTTCTCTTAAGACAAGCTTTCTTTTCAGAAGAGGAAGGTCGTCTTTCTACTTGCTTCTTTAGACAGTGTGTTGATAAAGTGTTTCYTGCAAATTGCTTTCTCGCTTTAGCGAATTCGGCTAACAGTATTCTTATTTAAGTCTTCTTTGATAAGTTGACTTTGTTTGGAAAGGAACTCTTCTGCTTCCTTATGTGTTTTTTCGTCTGTCAGCTTCTTTGCGCTTTTTTCACCTGAAGTGTCCTTCTTCGTCTTTCTTCGCGTTGTCCTCCTTTTATGAGGAGTTCCTCTTTCGCTGTCAGGTCGCTAATATAGTGACAGTTTTCGATCTACGTGCCCTATTTATGAAGGGACAATTATTGATTCAAGATCAACAAATGATCTGTCTCACGTGGGGATTGCTTTATTAATGGTTAATTGTCTGGTTAAGAGCACCCTTAATAATCTACTAATATCTTTGTTTATTGTAGATTGTTTGGTTAAGGAATCTTAGGGAAAAAAATACTTCCTCTTTGGTAAATTTACTTGGAGGCCATTTTTTCTTAAAGAAAGTGTAACATTTCTGAATGTGGACCCAGACCTTTTTTGATAGCACTTCTTTCAAAGAGACTACGTCTTTGTGTTTCACTTTTGACTTTGCGATTTTAGCTTAATTTCGTTGTAATTAAAGTGTCGTATATTTACGATTAAAACAAAATTATGCTTAAAAGGTAAACTGTGTATGTTAAAGGAAATTTTAACTAAACGTCGTCCAAATTAAACTTTGGGTATTAATTAGCTAGCGTTTGGCTTACATAATTTATCCTTCAATTATTGTTTCGTTTGGGTTATGGATAGACAATGTTTTAATTCTATTAAGCCGGCAGAAGTTTTAAAACAAAGAACTGTTCATGAGCAATAACAATTGTATGAAACGCGCGTGATACATTGGATGTCGAAGTCGAAGTTTAACTGTCTTTCTCAATTCATTCTTAATTTGTACCAAATCTTTATGAAATTGTCTCATATCTAGTATAAACAAGCCATAATAATTTTGTAATGCAGTTTTTTTGGTCATTTTACATGCCGTTGCCAATATCTTCATCAAATGTATATTACAGTGGAAGTTCCGAAGTACTGCATCACCTTCAAAACAAAGGAAGTATTTCAATTGAAAACGTTTTTAATGAAATACGTGAAAACACGCTTGTAATTCAATTAGTAATTCACTTAAGAATGTAACTTTCACGATAAAAAAGGCTTCTTTGTAGGTCTTTTTGGAAGTTTATTGTTCCGCTTTTTCGTTTTTACCAACGAAAAATTGTGAAAATGTGTGTTTTTCTTAAATAAGTTAACTTCTTAATAACATGTAGACAATTCGCGGCCAACTGTRAATTATTTCGTAACTGCACGATCAATTATTTTGTCTATCCGTTCGTCCAACTACAAAGAACTTTAGCAAATAATAGATGAAATTAAAAATTCCCAGTGTTTGCATTGATGTTCAAAGGAGTTACTTTCAACAAAGAGCCTTTCATTTCAAAGTAAAGAAGATTTTGTTAAAAAAAAATCTCAATCTAATCGCGTATGTTTTCTGGAATTCATTCGGGAAATCAGGCTTTATTGACCGTTTGGTTTAAAGGTGTTTAGGTTATTTTAGATTACTTTAATRAATTTTGACTGTTTAAATTGAAAGATAGTATTGCTAGCTTTTCCATTCATTATGTYGTTATAAGCTTTTTCTTTAAAAGATAGGGGATTTTAAAATGCGATTAATGCTGCACGCGTTAGGGTTTACCGAAGATAAGTATTTGGTAAACTTCCCGAAAAAAGAAGAAATTTCTGTTTGTACAAAAMCAGTTCAAAAGTAATCACCTTATCACGAAAAATAATCTCCAAATTGTTCAGSTAAAAAAGTATTCTCAACATTTTATACTCCTTTTCCGTTCAAATTTGAAAGTATCATTAATTGTTACGACTGAATTACTTTTAACTGATTCTTTAATGATTTTGTTTTACAGCGAATGTTCTAAAAACCAGAGGAATATAGTTAATTTAGATCAGTGTACACCATAGTATACATGTTACATAAGGCTGAATCAAGAAGATTAAGCCTTATGGTAAGGACAGGTGTTTAGGGGCGTTAAACAATTTCCCTCGTCTTTTTTGATGAGTTTTTYCAGCAGGTTTTTCTTTTGTTTTCATGAAACATCCTCCACTTGGACGTTTTATGACTAAAACGCTCAATTCTAATGACATTAAAATGGCCGACTGTCTACAATTCGAGTCAATATTTACACCATTTTGCTATAGTGCTGTATTCCAAACGAATGCGAAGTTTAGTTATAGACTTATTTAATGCCTAAAATTCGTTGATTGAATTAGCTGTCAGAGTTGTCAGYGAATGGCGGAACTTGCGTAAATCAATTCAACAGCGGAAAGAAAGTTCGTTAAACAACTACGTGGTCTTTTTTAGAATAGAAAACGTATTTTTAAGACTAAAGAAAAGACTTATTTCCTTAGTGAATAGTTCGAAGTTGTTTTTTTTTAGCGAGGAAAGCATAGTCTGACACTAGGACCAGTTTTAAGCTTATTTACTTCGTATTTTGTGTTTCTTCTGTGGAAGTTTACCTGGCTATTCTACTTCATTCTTTAAAAGAACTTTAGTATCAAGATATATTACTTGTGAAAATTTTGTTTATCTATATCGTGTTTTTTCTCTTAAAAAGCGAAAGTCTACTAAACTAAAAATCCATAAGAATTTCAACTGGGCAAAAATTATATTTGTAAAGTGTCCTGTTGAGCGTTCAGAATCAAAATTTAAGTGGAAGGTTTTCTTGATTAAGTTTTAATATTGATGACGTTCGTTGGTTTATTGCCCTTAAATAATTTCTGAACAAATATCACCTAGTTTATTYAGGTAAAATATGTTTTAAAAATAATTGATTATCCAATGTAATGAAATTGCGAAGACACGATTAGAATATTGCCTTTTAATRAGGGTGTTTATTTGAGAATAATTAAGAAGATTTTCTCGTGTTGATATGAAAAAAAGAAATGAGAGTTTACATTAAAGATAATTTCTGCTCTGCTACCCCGGAGTTAAAGACTCGACATCGAAAACAATATCTGAGATTTTGATACAAATTAAAAAGGTCGTGTACAATGCAGTTTGTTTTATCAGAAACCAGCTGTGTTTTAAAAGACTTAKAACATTTCCATTTAAAGTAAGTAGCGAAATATTACATTAAGGTACGAAAAATATAGTCCGTTTCTGTTATTAAAAGAGCTCAGTCGATTCTTCGGTGGCAGCCGCGTCAAAAGCGCGGGAAAAAGCTGACCAAACACGAGCGCCTGAATAACCAAACGGGAATTTTACTGTTTACAAATTAAAGCATTTCTAATGCCTCTTTATCATCTTATGTCTTGGCAACGGCTCAATTTCTAATTACTAAGTGTTAATTTTCAAGTGGAAAAGGTATAAGGCAACTAATATTTGGTCGGGGGGAAAAATGRRTTCATTTACAATTTGCTTTAAAACGCTGTTGTCGTCGTTTATTTCCACGACGATACATCGGWTTCGCTTGTATTTTAATAATCAGAATCTTTAACTTCTTATTGTTAAAGAAAACGAGATTCTTAGCATTTTTACTGGAAAAGTTACTGAGTTTTTCTCACAGGAACTTAGTGATTAAATGTTATGAGAAAATTAAATTATATTTGGCATAGTTTAGTTTTTCGTCCTTTTTACAGCATCATAACTCCAAGTTTCTGGTTATCTTTTAGAGCTTTTGTCTCTTATGTAAAGAACATATGAAAATATGAGTTGCTCACATATACTTTCGTTTAGTATCGATATTTTGTAATGACATTTAATGCTATTAAATGGTCCTGTCCGGATCAAGATAGTACAGCATTTGAAAATTTA